GTGAAAATGATAAACTATTGAATATGACAAGTTTTCCTTCTTTTATTTATCATCGTAAATTGTAAAAAGTTTTTTTCCCTTCAGCGTAGACATGATAAAAGAGTCAGCGACAGACTAGGCACAAGTTAGAGACCGAGTCTAAAGCTGTAATCTGTGCAGGTATTATGCCACCAGGAGATTTGAGGAGCAAGGAGATTAGCCTCAAGAACCCAGAGAGATTACAACATGGAAGGGATTTGGAGGTCAGGGTGGCTGTCAGACCTGCTGAGTGAAGAAGGGGAGGAAAACTAGGATGACCCGTGCATAAGGAATGTGGTTACACAGTAAAATAGAAGTTTCATTTTTATTTAAATTAAATTGTTCTATAAGGTGCATAAAACTGACATTTTTAATGGTAATTAATTTCAATTACCTTGCACCTATTTTAAAAACTGTGATCATAAAATCACAATTTTAAAAAGGTTTGATTTAAATTTTGTATTTCTTTAGTTGTTCCCAGTGAGGTTAGATCCCATCTGGGTTGTCCCTTGACTCTGCTGGTATTTGTGATGCTCATGATCAGGATCTCAAGGAGCAGTTGTGGAGAGGATGGTATCAGGTTAAGGAACCTCAAGGCGTGGGTGTCAGAAGCTTTTGAAAAATACAGGGGGCACACTGGTGGGGAGTCTGAGGGTCCTCCGCCAAAACTTTGAACAAAGTCAAAGCCACTTTTTGCATTGTGGCGTATTTTAACAGGTTGTTAAACATACTTTTACCTACATAAGTAAACACTTGATTTATTATCTGTTTGTACTCATTCAGTAGGTATCATCCTGTTTTTAAACTCACTGCTATGGCTGAGATAATGAAATTAATGGGACACTTAATCACAATGATTTTAGAGGAGCATTGTACTTTTCCATCCATCCAGCTAGCCATCCATCAAACCATTTATTTCTGCTTATCTGGAATCAGGTCACAGGGGCAGCAGCCTATAGAGAGACCCAGACTTCCCTCTCCCCAGCCACTTGGGCCAGCTCCTCTGGGGGAATCCCAAGGTGCTCCCAGGCCAGCCAAAAATATAGTCCCTCCAGCGTGTCCTGGGTCTTCCTCTGGGCCTCCTCCCAGCGGGACATGCCCGGAACACCACACCAGGTAGGTATCCAGGAGGCATCCTAACCAGATGAACCACCTCAACTGGCTCCTCTCGACGTGGAGGAGCAGTGGCTCTACTCTGAGTCCCTCCCAGACAGTGGCGGATGCTGGTCTTTCAAGAAGGGGAAGCTCAGTTTCGGCCTACATCATAAAATGTGTTGGTTTATTTCTACGTAAATTCTACCCTCCGTTCCTTTTCAAGAAAATATTTTACAGCACTTCCAGTCAGCCAGCTCACTTTGTCATACCAGGACAGCTGAAAAGACCTGTTACTTTTCTCCATCTTTTGCACCAAATTAATCTGAGGAGTTGATCAGCCCTGCTGTTTAACTCTAGTTTTTCTCTGTAAACAAGACTATCAAATGGCTTCTCCAAAATCCGGTCCACAACATTCAAACTGTCTGCCATATGTGCAGCTTGTTACTGACTCGAGGCTAGTGTGAAGTGTGTCCGCCTTGTGATGTGCTTTGTGACGGTGAAGGGGCTCAGCAGCACCCGCTGGACAGAAACTGAGTCTCCAAACATAAGCAACTTCAAAACAACCACCAGAAATAGAAGCTCGATTTTTCACTAGTCGTTTTTAACAAAGAAAATGCTGCTAAAAGGATTAATAAAGTCTCTGGTTCAACTCAGAACAGAAACAAAAGTAAAAAATGCTCCCACGGAATGTTTGCACCAAAAGATTGCTGATTCGCTCATTTCGCTGTCAATCCATTCAGCCTCAGACAGATCATTCAATCATCATGCAGAAGCTGAGCGTCCGGGCCAGCCGAGGCCAGCCCCCTGCCTCATAGACCCCCAGAGACGCTAAGCGTCCAATGGGAGGGACAAAACCAGCTTTTATCCAATGACTCGTCTCGTTTCACTGCAATCTTTGCATCGCTGATGAGCTCTGTGGAAGCTGAGCGTCCGACTGTTTAAAGCACTGTGAAGCTGCAGGAATGAGGGAGAGGAAAGCTGCGTCATTACCAGTGATAAGAAGCTGATTCTGAACAAAAGTTGAGCGCGTTGTAGTGTATATTTAGTCAATGACATGTACACACAACAGTGTATATTTAATCTTTTTATTTTTTACATTTTAGGGGAAGCTGAGCTTCCCTTGCAGCCTTAGAGCAATCGCCTCTGCTCCCAGATGACCGAGCTTCTGTACACTTTTATAATGTTCACACTGAGTTTAGACTTTATAGACTCTAGCTCTGTTTTGGTGGTAGATAAGTTGACCTAAGCTCCTAACAGAAAATGATCTGTTTTTGTTACACAGTAAATCACTATTAAAAGCCTTTAAGAATCAGTGTGAGCTCTGTTATGTCTGGGAGCAGAGTCATTGCAAGGCAAGGACTGAAGCTGTGAAAACAGATTACAACCAGATTTGGCTTTAGGATGTTCTTTACGTTCACAGAGACTTGTTTTAGAATAGATCAGGGTGACTCAATAGAAGTGCAGAAAAATGTGTCTGGATTATTATTATTATTGTTTTATTTTATTTTTTGAGAACTTGTTTCGTAGCACTGCAAAGTCTTACATCGTTCAACACTAAACTAAATTCTCAAATGTTGTACTTATATTTTATAAAAATCCAGGTGCTGAACATTTGCAAATTTAACATTCCAGCATTTTCACCTTTGTCACAAAAACGTTTTATGGTTCTTTAATCAGAATGAAGCTGATCGTGCTCGTTGTTTAGTCAATCATCATCCTCCTGACTGACAGATGACTCTTCCCTCTTTGAGGCTGATCAGTCTTTTAATGAAAACAGCACAGAAGTTTCCTTTTCAGGCTCTTCCTGCTCAGTTCTTAACTCTGTTACTACAGTACATTTCTCCTAACCTCCTCACACTGTCTGAGGTGATTTGTATCAAGTCTTAAAACCCTCTATAACCCTCGTCTAATTCTTTTAGAGTGCAGGTGGTTAACACTTTTCCGGTGTCCTTAGTAATCTGCGGTCAAACATAGTTAGTTTCTTTAGCTTCCCTTTAAGGTTGTAGTCTGTGTGTTTTGGTTTGTTTTCTTTCTGTAGTGCTCCGGGTTTATTTTGTGTTTGATTTTCCTTCTGAATTTCTGGGGGTTACTTTTCTTCTTGGTTTAGATCCTCGTTTGTTTATTTTTTTGTTACATTATTCCTTGTGTTTAGGATCTGTGTGTCATTTCAAGAGGTGTCAAAAGCATGTATTCATTACTCAGGTAGACATATACTGTACTAGAGTTTAAAAAGCCTTCTGTGGAAGTAGAAGTACTGGTTTTAAAACTAAAGTACAAAAGTAATATAAGGGGGAAAAGCCATTAAGGACAAAAGCTTAGACCAAGCAACAGGGGTCTGTAGTGCACAACCCCCCAAAAACTTGACAATGACAATAATATCATATTAAAATGCTAATGTTGAAAGATTTGGGATGCACTGTACAATCTGTTTCAGCTGCATATGTCTGTTGAAAATTAGCACATTTTAAATCAATGCAAATAAAGAATTAACCAAAAAGTCAAACTACAGTGACATATTATTAACCTTTATTAGAATATATAAATCAGGTTATCTGCAGGAATCTGTGAGGGAAGTGGATGTAAGATAATACAACTGGACAAGAAAACTGGTGTATTTAGGGCAGGTTTAGTAACAATTATCCACATATGTTCTACAGACATTAATGCTATCAAAATGTATTATTAATCCAAGTTATTTATCAAAAAATAAAACAAAACAACCCTCATGATCCTGATTGATTGTACTATGCTAAAATCTATCAGTAATGGCCACAGAGACAAATTTAACAAGAAGATGTAATAAACCTGCCTGAAAAGCCTTGCAGGGTTCAGATTCACCCGCAGATTAAACTGGAACTGCTCGCCCCTCACAATGGAGAGTCAAAACAAATCAAAACATACAAAAAGTTCTGCCGTGAGTAGAGATGAGCCAGCAAAAAGACAAAATAGTAGGAAGCTGACTCTCACACAATGGAAGCTCTGATTCACTGCAAAGCACTGGGTCAATAACACGTTACCAAGCCGGACTGAAAACAACCAGAAATGAAATAAAATTAATGAGACTATTTTTAAAATGTAAAGAGTAGAAAGCACAGAGGAGTACAAAGTAAAAAGCCAGTTGAAATTAATTAGGCCTACTGCAGTAAAGTAGAGAAAGCAAAAAATTTCTACTGATATAAAATAATGACGTCTCTGTAACTCATAATTTGACACCTCTGTTCATTTCTCTTTTACCCTCAGTCAGTTTCCTCTGTTAGTTTTCCAGTCCTCTCGTCCTAATTGTCAGTAATCTGCCAGCTCTGGTGCTGTCATTTATCACTTCCCCTCAGTGTATTTAACCACTCTCATGTCACTGTGTCCTCGTTAGATCACTGCGTCATCAGCTGTGGTCATTTCTTCATGTCTCTATGTGTTTCTGTTGAAAGCTTTGCAGCCTGGTCAGTTTTCTGTGTTTGTTTCATTGAAGTATTTTATTTAACGAATCTCGTCACATCTGCCTGCATTCTGGGTCCAGCCCCTCTGCTGTGGAGCGCTGAAACTGGCATAATTAGAAATGAAAGCAGAATTATATAAATGGACCAATTAATAAATTTAACTTTGCCTCATGTTTTGTTATAGTTTGTCTTAATTTTATTTGTCCAGCTTAAAATATATATATATTAGGACATAATTTACATTTTACTGTTTTTATTTCTATATTTT